ATGAATTGGACCAAAGAGCAAACTACCCTATCCCCTACCTTACTTCGCTGGTTCTATGAAATTGAAATTTTCGACTTTGAATGAAGGCACAAAAAAGGTTGTTATGATCGAGTTGCTGATGCATTGTCTCGCCACCCTTAGTACATGACTTGCCTTGTGAATTCCTACGACCTCCGGAAGAAACTGAAGGAGGAGATCGTAGGGCACACTGCCAAGGATTCGGACCTTAGTCTCATCCTTGAGCAGTTGCGGGCTGACCCCAGCAGTCAGCCTGATTTTCACGAGTATGAACTGATTTTCTGTCGCTACAGGAATTACGACCGTTTGTGTGTGCCCAACCATGAGCCTCTCCGCATGCACTTTGTGGACTTGGCTCATGGACCGAGTGGACACTTCGGCATGGCAAAGACTTACGGAAACCTATTGAGACAGTTTGATTGGCCTGACATGAAGGGATCTGCTGAAAAATTTGTGGCTGAATGTCAAATCTGTCAACGAATCAAACCATGTAGACAAAAGCCCATGGGGCTACTTACACCCCTTCCCATTCCCGATGGTCTCGGGGAGTCTGTCTCTATCGACTTCAGCGACATGGGAAAGGCAAGTAAGAATGGCAATTCACAAGTCATGGTGATTGTTGATCGCTTCTCTAAATTTCTTAATCTGATTCCTTTGGCATCTCATGCTGCAACTGAATTGGTGATCCGTCAGTTCAAACAGAAGTACATTCTGCAGTTCAAAACCCCGAAAACTCTCGCGAGGAATCGGGACCCGCGCTTCATCAGTACGGAATGGAAAGACTTCACGGCCCAACTCCCTGGCCTCAAGCTATGCATAACATCTGGCCGACACCCCGAAGCCAATGGTTTGGCTGAGGAAATCAACCAAACGGTGTTCCAACTTCTCCGCACTTTGATCATTTCGGATCAAGAAACATGGGACGAAGAGCTGTATTCCGTCAAGGGGTTGTACAACAACTCCATCCATTCCGCCACCGGCATGACACCAAACAGGCTGCATTACGGTTGGCAGATTTGTAATCCGCTCTCCAACCTATTCCCTGAGCAGCCAGCTGGTTTAACGCCCGGCAGGCCGGGCTTCAGGCCCAAGTACGATCGCATGCTAATAGTTCCCATTGCAGCAATGACCAAGCAATAGCACGCCATGATCCATCATGCAAACAAGAAGCGTCGTCCTTCAGATATTGAAGTGGGAAGTTATGTTTGGGTCAAGGTGTCTGAATTTTCAGAAGAAGAGGAAGTTTCACAAAAACTTCTCCCACTCTATTATGGTCCGTGGGAAGTTCTGGATGTGATTGGCGAAGATAGCTTTGGCCCTTCATGTGTAGTTGCTGTGCCACCTCATCTGCGCACATATCCTGGTTTTCATGCATCAAAACTGTATCTACACCGCGATGCTAAATTGTTCAATTACCATGAAGGCATGATTCCTTGTGCAATCAATAGCGGGCATGAGATAGACAGGATTAAACAGCACGTAGGGAAGGGACGAAACAGACAGTACCAGGTCCATTTCATGTATCACCCGTTGGACGATCTATACTGGATTTCCAAGCAGGAACTGCTGCGCAGTGCACCGTGAGTTGTTAAAGCCTACGAGCGACAAATCACCTCTAATGATGCACTTAAAGTCTCTGCCAAGCTCACTGCGACAGAGTATTCTCGAAATCTCTTTGCCCTGTTTGCCTACGATGCGTTTGTCGGGGACTCAGAATGAGTTACTCGCTTGAAGGCACCTTGCTCTCAAGGGGGGAGTAGTGTGATGACCCAACAAAGCATGGACTGAAACACAGCTGATTTCTGAGTTTTGCTCATAGACTGAATGCCTTGCTGAGTTTCCAGCTTGCTACTAAGGTCTTTGAGTTGTGTGTATGCACGCTTGCTGGACTGCATGTCTGTCTGAGTGCTGGTTGGCTTGATTGTGTGTGTGGCCCGCAAGGGCACTTGTTCGTCTGTTGGGCCCTCAGGGCTGGTACTTACCTGTGGCCGTGACATTGACAGATTGCAGCGGGGGAAAACACTCGAAGTAGCAGGTAGGCTGGTACCGCACCCTGACGAGGTAGATGTTCGGGTACTGGAGCCCGAGCAGAAGAAAAAAGTGGCATTTTGAAGAGGCCCAGTAGTTGTAGGCTAGGTCTAGGCGGGTACCAGTCCAACGAGTCTGAGCCTAGGGCCTGTAAGGGCAATATCAGAGTCCGCAATGATATTTCCCTCTGAAAGGCAGGAGGTACTGGTTGCTTGGGAAGGCCGAGCGGCCTGGAAGTCACCGCCCAAGGGGCAAGCAGGCCGCTATCTCCAGGCCGGGCGAAGAGCCCCGCCTCATTGTCGGTGTGCAAGTTTGGCAACACACTGGTTAGCTTGGAGCAGCGCTGCTGGGGAAGAAGCAAGGACTCGGAGGAGGAAGAAGGATAGGAAGGGGTATGAGCGCCCGAGGTACTTACCTGGCTATGGTGGCAGCCATCTTCATCACCTTGGTAGGGGCTGCAGCAGGAAGGCCCCATCTGGGGTTGAGCCACACCAAGAAGCTTCGAGGCAGAGTCAGGCATGGCAGCCTGAGCCAGAGCAGCCATAAGCTGCTTTGGGTTGTCCTTTGGGCATCTGGGCAAGGCCTAGTAGCCCGCCATAGCCTCGGCCTATGAGAGTGAAGAGTGAGGGAGGCGGCCATAGCTATGGTGGACCTCAAGTGATATCAGCAGTAGAAGAGGGATTCGGATTTTGATGCTGGTTCAGCTATTCAACATTGTATTATTATTTCTTGTGTGAATAAGAGAGGAGGAGATAAGGAGGACGAGAGAGTTGGGCAAAGAGGAAGAGCTTTGTCATTTGCCTATGCTGGTGTACATCTTCTTCTTCTGCTAATGTTCTCTCTCCTCTTCGATTCATTCATTTATTTCTGCAATTGGACGGCATTGTACTATCTGATGAATGTGTATCTCGAAATTGGCCAGGATCATAACACGTCTGTTAATAACTATCGTGAGGTGCTAGAAATGCCTCTCCTGCAGCCCAGAAGGCACAGCATGCTCACTTGCATAAGGCTGTAGTATATGGCTTCCCACGTCCTAGTGGTAGTTTGCAAAAAGGTTCCACAGTGATAACAAACATCAGTAAAGAGTTCCGTGGTGTCATCCCCACATATGGAACTGGCCCATCCATACGGTACCCTAGCCCTTTGGACGGGCCATACAAATGATCGTCTGAATGCTTTTCGGGGCCTTAAAGGGGGCCCATTAAAACAACAACTGGACAGGGGTGAGGGTGTCGGGGGACACCCCCACAGGGGTGAAGGTGTCGGGGAAAAAAAAAAAAAAAAAAAAAGTTTAACGTGATTGATTGGTTGATTGATTGATTGTTAAAAAAAACAGAAAGAGACGTACAAACACACATACACACGCATACAAATGCACACGCGAGCACACACACACACACGCACACACACGTGCACACAAACGCACATGCTCTCTCTCTCTCTCTCTCTCTGTGTGTGGCGCACGAACACGCGGGTGCGCGCTCGCACACCGCCTTCAGAGAACATTGAAATGCCACTCAAGAGTCCTACAGAGAAGATTAGTGTTGCCCCTGTTCAAGGATTACATACAAATTGAGAGGTCCCCACCTTCCTGCAATGAACTTGCAGTTTGAGCAGGCTGTAAACTAACTCCCTAGTTTGGTATGTCCATTTTGATTGTGCTCGAGCCAGGAATCGATCCCTGGCCCTGCTGTTCTTTTGTTTTTCAGCATTGTGGATTAGCCGGGATTTGATCCCTGGCCTTTTCGCTGCCAGCCTTTTGCTTGTTTGGTTCTCCCAGGACTTTATCCCAGGCCCTGTCCCTTAATAAGGTTGAGCACAGCTGTTACTTTTGTTCTCCTTTTAGGTGCTGTCTATCCTTTTGTCCATTTTCAGTCTAGGTACAGAAGCACTGTAGACTAGCTGCTGGTGAGTTGAGTCTTAGGTCTAGCAGTCCCCTGCTGTCGAGGCAGCCCATGAAAAGAAAAGTTCAACACACCATGTAGCTGGGCTTTTTTGGCTCATCATTTTTTTCTTTTCACTGGGAAGTGGAAAACAGGGAGCACTCTTCAGCAGCTGCTTTAATCTCGAAGCAGCGAAGCTCTTCATGTTGGTTGGCTGGCGCCCATAGCTGACGGCTTCCAGCATCGTGGGTGTCAGCGCAGGGCATCAGGCCCCATGCGCTGTAAGAGAGGTTCCTCTATCGTGTGTTGTTGGGGTTTGATAGCTGCAATCGAAGCAGCTTTGACTTACCATCTTTGAAATGGCAGAGGTATTTCATTGAAGTGGACTTCCTTCTTCTTCCTCTCGGGAGCTGGAGCTCCCAGCTGGCCGAGCGTTACCTGCAGCAGAGGGGGGGTTGTGAGTGGTTGAAGACTGGGCGCTGGAGTTTTCTAGGGTGTTCTGGCGATTTGCAAGCCAATGGGTTGGGTGCTGGGGCGCCATAGTTAGGGCTTGAACAGCAGGGAGGAGGAAGAAGACTCCCTGACACATCAATGACACTTTGTAACTAGTTCCCTGATAACGTGGTTGAGATTCTTGGAAATTGGTGCTGCTGAATGAGTGAGAGAGAAACGGTATAAGAATTGTATCGAGCGGAATTCTTTGATGTGGAATCCTCTCTCCGATTGTCATTGCGCATGTGTATGGGAACGTGTGAATGCCAACCTGTATTCGATTTTCAATCAGGCACATAACATTCCCCCCAAGGCATCCATAGACTACATGTCCAGCTGCTTCTCAGACCAGCTTCTGACATCATCAGGTGCTGGCGCACTCCATGAGACCAAATGTGCACACTCCATGAGACCAAATGTGAAAGCCCAGTGGCAATCCCCAAATGGAATGGAATAAATTCATCGACTAAAAGCTATCAGGGGTCCACAAGACGATCACCGAACTCGTGTACTACGCACAAGTGTCAAACAGCAAAAGACAAGAAAAACATGACGTCTTCAGAAAGAGTCCCCTACCATTGTTCCCATGATACCTCCGAAAGGCCCACAGAATTGCACTGCAGGAGAAGTCGCAAGCCATAGAACACAAATGAAAGTCTTTGTTAGCAAAAAGGGTTCAGATACCCGATCACTCCACTTTAGCTTCAGCATTATAACCTTCATACAGGCAAGAACAGGTGACTACTTGTGCAAAATCTGAAGGAAGACCACAGACAGCCCTTGACCTGTCAGAAGAGAGGATACGGTATCCACGATCATGGGCCCAAGCATGTCTCAGTCAGAGAATGATGCTCGGAACAAGGGAGGAACTCAAAAGGACAAGTACATCTCAGTCAGAAAAATGATTCTCACAACAAGGGATGCGAGAGCAGAAACAACAACAGACGGATTTGCTGAAAAAACATGCCACAACAAGCAGATGCCCAGCAGGTACCTTCACATGCAAACAACCGCTCTGGAAAAAGCAGACGAACAAATATAATCAGGCTTGTGCTCAGATTACAGAAAAAGCATGATCATAGCTTTCATCTCAATTGCTTTCAGAAATTTCTCAAGAGAAATGGTGCTAATACTGTCTGCAGAGACAAGGCGGTAAGAGAACAACACCACACACACACGGAAAGAAAGAGTGGAAATGGGCTTGGGCAAAAAGCTACAGAGATCACGACCACAGAACTGATGGAACAAAACCGTAGAAATGGGTTTGCAACTTTACGCGCGAGATACTGGTCAAGGACGATGACAGCACTGACAGAAATGGAGCTTGTGAGCAATCTGACAACAAAAGCTAGCACCTTGCACCACGGCTTTCACCAAGTTCTCAACAGGAGAATAGCAAAACTTCTATGCACCAACAAAGCACGGAAAGTCAACAGAGCACACTGAGGAAGATAACAGAAACACTAAAAGGTGGCAAGAGAAATGCTGGAGGCTCTCAGTCAACTCTCGAAACCGCAGCTTTCATAATTGAGGGGTCTCAACAGGTTGACTAGGAAGGTCAACCAGTGCGTGAGCACACATCCCAAGCTACCGAGCAACATCCCCGATGGGAAGCCCAGTGCATGTGCACACAGCCAAACCTACACAACGACCCAGTGGTTTGCACCCAGGGCAGTCCACTTGCCCAACAGCTATTCTTCAGTGATGAGTCAAGTGCTTGATCGGCACTGGAGTACACATGAGCACTGGAATCTAATTTAGATGCACTCCATCAGGACTATTGGTGCTTCCCTGGAGATGGAAACTATCACAGCACAGGAATTCGTGGTTCTTTTCCGATGTATTGCCCACACTGTGACGTAGACACAGCCCAGACTCCTGCAGGATGGAGCTACATAGGAATCATGGACAATTGCCAAACATCTAATCAAATCAGATCACAATAGTGAAGATCACAATTTAACCTGTGAGCCTGTGCGAGGTTAGTAAGATTGTTACAAAAACTGAGAAGCAGCCCCACCAAACTCCGTAAAATGCACATATGCAGCGCACTAGGCCCAAAATGGTGGAAGCCACCGCATGAACTGGTGAAATGTCTGTCCCTCCAAAGACAAATTTTGGCAACAGACATTCCATCTTTCATTGTACAGGATGAGGGCACACACAGCCAGAAGAAGACTGAACGGACAGGGAAGAGGGCCCGGAGGGGGTGGGGGGTGGAGACACAGGGAGACTAGGCAGGCAAGGGAAGGGGAGGAGAAAGAAGGAACTGATTATCCTCTTGAATCTTGCTAATCACTTGATATCTTTATCCTCTTGACCCTTGCTAATCAAACAATTTCTTCTCGATGCCTCAATTTGCAAACAGAACTTTGCAAATGCTTACGTTGCTGTTGTCAGAATGGATTCCTTGCATTCTGTAAATTTTCATACTTCCTGGGTGTGTGGGTTAGTGTGCTTCTGCTTGCAGTGTATGCCTGTGTTACACATGACTATGTGCACAAACACAGACAAACTGTGCATACATTTGTCCTCAATGAACAGACGTACCCTCTGGTTCTTCTTTTCCATCCAACACGACCCTCCAACTCTGCCACACCACCACCAGCACCTTCCAGCTTTCCTCTTCCTCCCATACCAACTTGTCTCAAAGAAGTTCAGGTTCACACTTGCTCGCCCGCATCAAGATTTTTATCCCCTGCCACGTCATGTATAAAGCCCCCGTTTTCAGGCATACAGCATTCCACGTCATCCCTCACACGTGAAGCTGCCCTTCTCTTCCCCCTCTGCTGCTCCTGCTCCTTAATTTCTTCTGCTCCTCACACTTATTGCACTACTGTGATCATTCTCCAGCAGAAAACACCAAAAACTATGAGAAAAAGATGCAGGGCATAATTGAGCAACTATCACCTACTTCGACGCCTGCTCATAGCTGTAGAACTTCACAGCTGAATTTGGAACTATTCGCACACAATTTGTTCCATTCCCCTTGAAGAATCCCTTGATCCCTTCAGTTGTACCAATTGCCCAAAGTCCTTGCCACATGCCAGTGTACTTTGGCTTCAGAGGGCATTGAACCTGGAACATTCCAAGCAAGATCCACCAACAAGATATCACAGTTAGAGAACATACTACACCACACACCAAACGACTGAGCCCATCACATGTGAAAAGCACAGTCGCGAACCAGCCTGCCTATTTCTGTAACACTGTTAGCTGTTCCGCATATGCCAAGGGCTGTGATTCAGCAACCCATCTCTTTACACTTCTATTCCGTAGCAAATTGAAAAATTTCCCATGCGGTCACTTGTTTGACTGCACGGCAGCTCCAACTAACCAGAGAATTAAAAGGACATTTTGGTTGGGCTCCTTTGCACCTATTGCACTATCACACTTGAACATGGCGAGAGGGAGAGCATTGTGACAGTCTCATTCCTAGGAAAGAGAGGTTTTGGAGGGCCAAAGATGCATTTTCTACGTGATCGCAAAACCACTACTCTCCCCAACCGAGCTCTAGAGCCACTATAAATCACAGTGATTAGTGAATAAGCCCCCAAGTCACAGTGCAGACCCTACACTCTTTTTGCACGACTGCCGGACCATTTGACACAGGTACATATCAACCTCTGCTGCAGCAAGTGGTCAGTAGGTCATAATCTGGGTTCTCCTCCCAGGCCATCGCTGATAGAATTGTGTTGGCAAGTTTTGTTTACTCCAAATTATCCTTCAAGAGGGTTATCAAAACTCATGGCACTTGCCCAGACAAATAGAACTTCAGCCTCAAACGAATCCTGCAAGAGGCACGCCTTTCACCAGGCTGGGTCATGAGATCTAGGAACCCATACACAAAAACGATCAAGCTTCCCAACATGGACAACATACCTGAAGCAAAATTTTCATGCGCTCCAAAGGTGCAACAGCAGAGCGTGACCTGCAAAGCACCCGGGATAAAATCCTGTTAAAACTTCAATGGAGGCAAGGCCGTGAACGACAGACTCATGTCACCTCTCTTCAAGACCCAACCCACCTGCTGTACACAAGTCAAGACCCACCTTGGTAAAATTCAGATCAGGGTATATCTGAAAACCCACCCTCACGAATGCCTTAAACCACCAGTTCACGCCCCTGCCTGTCCCTGCTATTGCAGTGAACTGCACCCGGGCCTGCGCGCTTCGGCAGAGGCCCGGTAAAGCTTTGGGGCCTCTATTCTGGTGGTGCAATGGTGCAATGGATGGGCGGACACCAAATGTGAAAACAACAAACACGGCAGACAATGAAAGCCGAAGCGCCAAGCTTCGAAAAAGGGACTAACAAAGAAAAGAAATAAAAAGAGAAAAGAAAAAGAGAAACTTCTGAGGCCCGCCACTTGAGGGGTGGAAAAGGATTGTGAGGAAATAAAAAACCAGAAAAAAAAAAACGAAGTCGGGGCAAAAGAAAAGACGAAAAGACAAGAAAAAGAAGGATCTGAGGGCGTACTCACACTAGCAGTATCTCAAATGTATCTGACAGCGTTCACGGCCATACCTAGATGTATCTGGTTGCAATTCCGTCCAAAAATACGTAAGAAATCTGTGGTGTGAGTATGCCCTGAGTGTGGGTAGTGCCCTAAGCCCGCGACTGACGGGACAAAACATCCTCTCAGTGATGTCAGGCGCCCTCCTGCCGTGATAGGCGGGAGGAAACGTCAACTTCGTTTTTCCTTTTTTTGGTTTGATTTTGAGAAGCAACGAGCCAGACCCTCTGAATGTGGCCACAAACTCCAGAAACTTAGTGTATCTTTGTGGAACCGACCGTATTTAGGGCATCCCTCCACTAGTCTCAACATGCAGAAACGACAAAAATCATGGCTGTGTTTTTTTCCATCTTCTAATGGAAGATTCACTCTCGTTTTGCACATTTGCAGAGTAGTGGAGCAAGGCCCTTAGGGCATACTCACACTACCACTTTCCAGAATGCATCTGACTGCAATTGCACCCTCCCGCAGCCACGGATTTTTTGAATGTTTTTTCAGCCACCGATTTATTCAAATCTTTTTTTTTCCCTCTCTTTTTTTTTTTTTTTTTTTTTTTTTNTTCATCCTTTTGTCTTATTCTTCAGCCTGACTGGCGTGGCACACGAGTGAAAACAGAGTAAAAATAAAAAACGAGATACAAAATTGAAAACAAAAAACAACCCACAGCCTGCTTTTCAGTCCATCAGCTTGCAGCAGGTCCAGCACAAAGAGGCCAGTACCCGCGCACTTTCAGGCTCGGCAAATTGATTTTTGGGATATTCAAAACAGGTATGGGTGAACTGGTGGTTTAAAATTCAGATGAGGGTATATCTGAAAACCTACCCTCACATAAGACAAGTCCCAAGAATGCCCTTGTGCCCTGTGGGAGAGTTGACAAGTCTCCCCATTCAGACTTAACTGTGGACGATTCCAGAGTCATCTCCAATCACTTCCCACTTCTCCAATAGTGTAACTACTCCTTTCCTTACTTAGACACAATACAAGCTCCTGCATGCATCAGAGTTGAAACGCTGCACCAGCGCTTGATGGCATATGATAATCCAAACCAATCTACAACATAGACACCTAACATAATCGCTCAAAACATCCACCAGACAGTGCAAAGCACCCCTCAACATGAATTCATGCCAAGATGGACTCCTAGTCAAATCGTAATAAACAACTGCCACTTGCACGACAACCGGACAAACATCCTTTCCATTACAAATGGATTGGGTATTCATTGGATGCTGTACCCTGTGAGAATATTTTCTTCCTTGAAGACTGATAACCGTTCTTCAAAATCATCCAGGAGAAGTTGAAAATGCTCTGTAAGGCGGGACTTGCAAGTACCGCCAGTCCAGTCAAAAGGTTCGATAACGCCCACTGGATGCACCACAATATCGTGACATTAATATCCAATTCAAAGAGTCATATACACGCTAGAGCACCACTGTCCCCAAGGCTTCCCCCAACGCTATTTTAACAAGCCATCACTTTTTTCCCAAGCCTGGCCATTGTGCGAGGATCTGCGTCCTCGGCAGGCCTAAGGGGGCTCTTGCTGCAGATGTGCCCGCCCTAAGTGAAGGCGGGCCTGACAAATCACTAGAGGCCCTAAGCTATCAATATCGTCTTTGGGGTCCAGGCAGTTTCGTTGCGCCAGTTGGTTGAGGAAAACACAGGCCGAGCAGCGAGACAATTCCACGGCCTTCCAGGCCTTTCCAAAATGATGCAGGCCCTGGACGAGAATGGCAGCCTCATACACAGACAGTTGGGAGGCCCAACCGAATGAGGCCCAGTAGCTATAAGAGAGGTGCAGCATCCTGGGGCCTACCGGAAGCTTCTGGGCCCAGGCCCAAGCCAGCCAGGCTGCGAAGACAGGCAGGCTCTTTCCATATAGGAAATAGCTCGCTGCCCGGAGGCCCATTCCGACACTTAGTGGCTGGCGGCACGCTGCTGGAGCTCATGCTCGCGTGCTGGCCGCTAGCGCTGGGGCAAGGTGCTGCGCACGTGCGGTCGTGTGTGGAACAAAGGGGCTGCTGAGGGCAGCGCCATAGCCCAGCCTTCATACCTGGCTGAGGGCTTGGATGTACAGTGAGGCGCAGGGTTGGTCTTCGGGTTTACAGAGGGAAGACGTGGGTGTCAGACAAGGGAGAGAGAGAAGAATGATGATGATGATGTGAGAACATACCTGGTATTGGCGGTGGTCTGCTACAGGCAACAACTTCAAGTACTTCGTTGGCTGCTGACATCAACAGTTGCATGGTCAAAGTAGCTGTGTAGCGAGCAGGCTGGGGGCCGAGCACCAAGTAGGGAGAAGGACCTAGATACATATGTTGGTGGTGGCGAGAGCAAGCTCTCATTGACATTGGTTTTCAATGTTACGATTATCCATTGGTGTCATATTGGTGCAATGCTGCTTTCTGAACACTGGGATACGATCTGGCTTTCAATGTGATTGTGCAATCTAAATATTGTTATCTCGCTATTGCTCATTTTCCTTGCAATTCGGTATCGGAGCTGGTTCGAACTGCCCTCATTGGTTCTTCGCAATAGCTGTTCGGTGCTTCGCATGAGGTGTGGGGCAGTGATAAGGATTGGGCGTGGAACATGAGGCGGCCCAGGGTCGTGTGGGCGCCCCAGGAAGCTATGTGGTGACATTAGGGGTGTACACTGGATGATGAGAGCTCGCTGATGTGGCATTTAAGCCAACTGGAACTACAGTCTGTTGTTGGTTGTGCCAAGGCAAAGACCGGTCATCATAAATGCACATCAGGTTGCCCGTGAGAAATCTGTGTTTGGGGGCAGCATAACGAGGTACGTTGCTCTCTTCCTTATATACCCTCTTCATTACTTCTTACCGTGAGGAAGTGAGTTCTGTCTTGAGAGTCCTCTCAATCTGAGGTGTCGCGAGCGCTCAACCTTGAGAGTCGACATTCTTCCTGGGCAGCAAGCTGGTGGGAGACGGGTGAAGCCTCTGAAGGGCCCTGGACGAGGCACTCGGGTCACAGTCACCATGCCAACCCGCTGGGACTAGAACGCGCATGCTTTGCCGCAAGTCCTTGGATCTGCTGCTGCGCAATAGAGGTCATGCAGGGCATCCCACCCCTTTGAACATACGCTTACCAGACCGTCTTTAAATATTTCAGGCGTGGACTCGGTGTTGACTCTGGCTGTGATTGTCGTCCTGATTGCGACGTTAAAGAATTCCTGAGGACCGTGTGGACTGTCCTAAAACTGCCTCTTGATCAGCCAGATCAAACTGGGTGTAAGGCTCGTTGCATGCGAGGATAAAAAAGGTGCAGGGGCTGGCAGGTTCGGCGTAGAATTGGGGCACAGGGGTGGGCCGGATTGCACACCTTCAACCAGATGCTCCGGGCGTTGACACGAAGTGATTACTCAAGAGGGATACGGGGAAAGGGTTGAATTCCGACAACCGTTCACTGTGGCATTAACTAGATAAACTGCCATTCAGCATACATCTCTGCAGGGAACATTACTTTTATTTTTGATTATTTAGTTGTTACAGACTTGACTAACAACTTATAGACAGCTGCAGATGGAGTAGAATATTTCTTGCTGCATTGCAATCTGTATTAGAGTAATCTAAGAATAGATTTAGGGTTCCTTGTTGGACCTGACACTAGTTGACACTATGCTACGTAACTGTTTTTATCCTGGCCGACCGGAATTAGTTGTATATCATACTCGGTTGTGTGTCATGCTGAGGTAGGATTAACTGTGGATTCTAGTTTAGATCGCGCACACTGTAGCTCACGAGTGATGCAAGCACTAGTGAGTTGTTAGTGGACAAGACCACTCATAGAACTGCTCTCAGTCGACCTTCGACTTTCCTAGCGTTAGGTCCAGCAGACGATAGGAGACTGCGGAGAGAGGCTAGACAGAGAGCAGCGGCGTGGAAGGCGAGGGACACTGCGGCCAGCGCCAGGTCTAGAACTATAGCTAGCACAGGTGCAACCATGGCCATCTCCTCCATGTCGCAGACCTCTTCACAAGCCACTTCGTCAGGAGTCAGTCAGAGTGGTTATCAGGCCTCCATTAGCCAGAGTGCTGGCTTGCAAGTCAGCCAGCGGGCTCAACTCACACCGGAGGATTATGAGATCCTCCAAGCAGAAGAACTTCAGGATGACCTACAGCGGCACTTGGATGAGGCAGCAGAGAGAAGAAGAAGAGCTATAGTGAGAAAAGCTATACTTGGTAGTAGACTGTAGGAACTAGGCAAGCTAGAGGCACTAGATGAGTCCGCACTTGATCCCTCTATGCAAGCCTTGCGTAATTTGCTCATGTGTGTGGCGGAGATGCAGGTTATCCAGCAGGAGGTGTTGGCTGAACTAGTGGCAGGCCAGAAACGAATTCTGGCTGCACTACAGGTTCCTCGTCCAGTGATGAGGCAGCATCAGTTTGCTGTAGCTCCCCCT